TGGTTCTTGCTGCTTTACATAGACCTTTGTAAAGAACAAATAGAGAGCTGTGGCCAATGGTGGTGGTGCATGCTTGTGATCCTAGCACTTGGAAGCAGGGGCAGGAGGATCACTTAAAGTTGAAGGCCAGCCTGGTCTGTCTACATTGCAAGTTCTAGGCCAGCCATGACTACATCCAGACTGTTTCATACAAACACACTCCAAAGAACAAAAGAGAAAAGAAAGAACAGATAGAAACTATAATGCTTGAAAATTTTAATACGTTTATTTACATATTTTGATTTTTTTTTTTGAAGGGATCTCTGTATATATAGCCTTGGCTATCCTGGAACTCACTCTGGAGACCAGGCTGGTCTCAAACTCAGATCAGCCTGTCTCTGCCTCCTCAGTGCTGATATTAAATGAGTGTGCCTCCACTGCCTGGCATAAATTTAGGATTATAGGTCATTACCTTGTTTTGCCTTGTTTGTTAACAGGATCTTACACTAGCCAAGTCTGGCCTATGACTCTGTAGCCTAGGCTGCCATCAAACTCATGGCAGACTTCCTGTCTCAGCTTCTGTAGCCCTGGCTATACATGCTCACTTTTGGTCACTCTTAATCTGTGCAGCCTTAGTGGACTCAGTGACTTTTCTTCACTTTTCCTCAGTGGCTAGGACTGAAGGTATTCATTATGGTAGCTGTGATTTATGTATGTACATTTTGACTACTGAAGGCTCCAAGCCTAAAGATCATTCTTGTTTTTGTTTGGTTTTTGGTTTTTTGTGGTTTTTTTTTACATGTCTGGATTTGAAATGTTCACAACAGAAACATTCCAAGCATAGAACAGATATAGCTCTAATGGAATTTCATGTGGTGATGTCTTTCTTTTCTCCACAGACTCAGTATTCATTCAAATGGGTATTTGGGACGCACACCACCCAGAAAGAACTTTTTGATATTGTTGCTAATCCCTTAGTAGACGACCTCATTCATGGGAAGAATGGTATGATTCTTGGAGTTTTGTTGCACTCCCTGTTTCATCTTGTGATAAAACGTTGTAATATTTATATATTTGGCTTGACAATGAATTCATATTTAATTCATTAGAGCAATGCCCTTTGGGATTTGTTAATTTTAGTGTTTTAAATACAATGAAATGTTCTGTGGGACTTTAAGACTATAACTCATTGTTACTTGCTACACTGTAGGTCTTTTATTTACCTATGGCGTGACAGGAAGTGGAAAAACCTATACGATGACAGGGTCTCCGGGGTCCGGAGGCCTGCTTCCTCGTTGCTTAAACATGATCTTTAACAGCATAGGGTCATTTCAAGCAAAACGTTGCGTATGTACAATTTTTTTGGTTTGTGACTGTTACTATAGACACAGGCCTGGGACATGTATGGATGAAGTACTGAGGAAGGACAAAGACACTGGAACTACTTTGACTGTTACATGTGGTGGGCACATTGGCTGCGGGCCTGTGGTGGCAGCACTTGGGTGGTATAAACAAGAGGATCAAGAACTGTCTCATGCCCTTTCCCTAGGTTTAAATGTTAAAGTGCTTCCTGTTTTTAAATGCTCCTATTCTTTAAGTAAAGTTCTTATTTTCAAGTCTTTTTGTCTCTGTTTTAGGTATTTAAGACTAATGATAGGAACAGCATGGAAATTCAGTGTGAAGTCGATGCCTTGTTAGAACGGCAGAAAAGAGAAGCCATGCCCATTCCAAAGACCCCCTCTAGCAAGTGAGTAGGTGACCCAGGGTGGGTGGAATTCTCTCCTACAGTTTCTGTAGATCCGGAGAAGGTAAATACTAGAAAAGTTGGTATTACAACTGACTTTTGTGAGGTCAGAGTTGAGGCACACTCTTGAGTGCCCGGGTTTTATGTAGGATATGTATGTCTGAATGGGAGGAGGGTGAGTTCCTGTGTTGTGCATCTTGAGGGCTTAGGGTGTCCTTGACCCACCTTGAATCTGAATAACGTTGTTACTTTATGATTTCAGCTTTATGTGACAGAACATTTGTCAGACTTTGCAGATTTCACTCTGATATAGTCTCAGTTAGGTTTCTATTGCTGTGATAAAATACATCGAACAAGAAAGCAGCTTGAGGAGGAAGGGATTTATTTTATCTTTCACTTCCAAGTAACAGTCCAACACTGAGAAGTCAGGGCAGGAACTCAAGGCAGAGGTTGATGCAGAAGCCATGGCTGATGCTGTTTTCTGGTTTGCTCCCATGGCTTGCTCAGCTTACTTTTCTTACACAACCCAAGACCACCTGCCCAGGGTTGGTAATACACATCAATCATTAATGAAGAAAATGCTAGACAGACTTGCCTGTTGTTGGCCAGTTTTATAGAGGTGTTTTCTCCAGTTGAGAGCCCCTCTTCCCAAAGACTCCCACTTGTGTCAAGTTGACATAGAACCATCCAAGACAGCTGTTATCTGCTTTCTATTCTAACTCATAGCGGGTAAATTTTGAAGTAAGGATATTTGTTTTCTTGTTGTAGGCGACAAGCAGATCCCGAATTTGCAGATATGATAAATGTGCAAGAATTCTGCAAAGCAGAAGTTGATGAGGACAGTGTCTATGGAGTATTTGTCTCGTACATTGAAATCTATAATAATTACATATATGATCTACTGGAAGAAGTGCAGTTTGATCCCATAAAGCCCAAGTAAGTACTGAAGAGAGTCTCCAGTCAACCTAGAAAACTACCTTCAGCAAGCCATGGTTCGTTACTTGTTTAAATGGGGATAATGCTTGCAATTGTTTTCAGGGTGTACAGAAATAATAATCATAGTCATGTTGGATGAATGATTTTCTTCCATTTTCTTTGTTATTGTTTTGAGACAAGAATTTCTCTGTGTAGCCCTGACTGTCCTGAAACAGTAGAGAGATCCACCTGCCTCTAGCTCCTGAGTTCTAGGATTAAAGGCGTGTGCCATCACTGCCTGGCAATACTTAGATTGTAGCTGTATCAGGAAACCAGTGGGTTAAGACATAGTAAGTAACCTGAAAATCATGGAAATTGCTTTTGACAATTTCTCCTTAGGTTTGAGACAAATCTGTCGTACAGGTACTGTTGGGGCACCTTTCAGCACCCTGACAGTGCTGGGAGTTTGTAGCTTTTTTGGGTGTCTGTGTCCTGGTGATCTTTATGGAATTGATTTTTGTCTGAACACATAATTCTTACTCATCCATTGCTGATTAGTGTAAAGCCATATTGCACTACCATTCTGCCAGAGATAAATGCTACTCCTTAGGACTCTGGGTCTTGCCTTTCAGAATGTGAAGACCAGTTACCATGTAGCTTTACAAAAGTCCCTATCTTTGTTCCAGAGCTGACAAAAAATTTGTGTCAAATGACTAGTCCACTGTGGGTGGTTTTATAATTCAGCTAAAGGCTGGTCTTGCATGCTATGTTTACTGTAGCCAGTTAGAACGTAAATAGTATGGAGCCCTTTGTCTTGCATATAACATTTGTGTATATGTATGTGTAAATGAACATTACTGTAGAAACAGCTGGATTTAGAAAACCATTAAGCTACAAACAGACTGAAGTCCACTAATGTCGGTGTGCTCACTAATACGAAAAATACATGAACTCTGGTTGAGCATATAATTACTGTGGCTCTTACTGAGTTGCATTTCAAAAAAGGATATTATATCCTAGCTAGGCCCACATATGGTGATATTTTTGGGAGGATCTTAATGTAAATTTACGTCCATTAAAGAATGGATGTCTTAGGAGCATGCTTTCTGACCATGTGGTGCTTCTGTCATAATACCCAGGAAGGCCCTTACTGGGTGTCAGTGCTACACTTGTGGACTATCCAGCTTTTAGAACCATGAGCTAAGTAAACTTTAGGAAAACTGGGGATGTACTCAGTGGTCCAGCACTTGGCTAGCATGCACATGAGGCTCTGGGTTCTGTCAACAAGCAGAGGAGCAAGGGGATATTGTGTTGCTTGGCACTTAACCTACTCTGAAAGGAAGACAGTTGTATCTCATTGGGGAAACTAAGTCCTCTTTCTTTCCCACAGACTCCCACAATCTAAGATGCTCCGAGAAGATAAGAACCACAATATGTATGTTGCAGGATGTACCGAGATCGAAGTGAAATCTACGGAGGAGGCTTTTGAAGTTTTCTGGAGAGGTTAGAAACAAATAGAAATTAAAGTGTGAGCATTTTATGCCTCAGAGTTGTTAGTGTGATTTAACAGCATCCTTCTGGGTTGATTAGAAAGCAGGTATGATAAGTGGTTGAGCTCAGGTATAATCAGTGGTTTCTGTCATCATAGGTCAGAAAAAGAGACGTATTGCTCACACCCATCTGAATAGAGAGTCCAGTCGCTCACATAGCGTGTTCACCATTAAACTTGTCCAGGCTCCTCTGGATGCTGATGGAGACAATGTCTTACAGGTAATGTGTTCATTGGTAGAAGATGACCTAAATTGTTGCCATGGTGATGAATGTTGCTGTAGAGTTAACAGCTATACAGCTTACAGTTGATGACTTCTTCATGTAGTACTGTTTCTGGGCTCTGTATTGCGTCTCATCCTAGGGTAGGGCATGCGTGGCACTCGTCTGTCAGTGTTGTGAGAGAGTCTGCGAAGCTTGAAAGCTCTGTAGGGATGTGTGTGCATTGAGACAGTCTCGGTTGCTGAGGCCAGAGGATTCTGAACCTTTGTTTGTTTCTCTTACTTCTACGATTATAATGTAATTACATAATTCCTTTCCCTTTCCTCTCCCCAAGCCCTCCCCTGTAATTTTTCTTGCTGCTTTTCAAACCCATGGCCTCTATTGTCTCTGTTTTTGGTTATTTCTTACTGTATAGGTAAAGCTGGCCCCAGCTTCCCAACAGCCAGAATTAAAGGCATGTGTCACCATGCCTGGCTTTTGTTTTTGACAACAGAATCTCACTGGAGCTTGGCAGAGATCCCCTGCCTCAGCCTCCATTGCTAGGACTGGTCATGATTTTAACTGTTCAGTGTGGCCGTGTCCAGGCTGGTGGGAAAGTTCTGATTCCTGCCTATTTCCCAGCTGTCTGACTTGACTGTGTAAGAGGGCCTTCTCATAATAAGATTGTGAGAATTAAGGGAAGCAGTGTCAAGTGTCTTGTCTGCTACTTGGCTTAGACAGTCAAATGTTAGTCAGAAAATGGCCACCAACAAGTCTTCCCCACACCCAATTTCCTATGAATGACTGTTTTAAATGCTAGGAATGTGAATTCTTGCTAAAGCACAATATCATTTCGGTGCATTTAACTTTCTTTTTTAAAGCTTTATTTTTAAATGATGTGTATGAATGTTTTTGCCTGAAGGTGTCTGTACCATTTGTGTGTACCTGTGGAGGCCTGTCTGCCTTGACTGACTTTAAATAAATTAGAGTACTGTGAAACTGTTAAGTTAATGTGGGTTTTTTTTGGGGGGGGAAGGGTAGGGCAGGTTGGAGGTTCCTGTTTTGTTTTTGTTATGTGTTGCTGAGGACAAAGCTTAGAATTCCCAGTTCTAGAATACAAATAATACTTGTAACAGCAGAAAGGCACAGAGTCTTTGTTCTCAAGAAGTTATCCAGTATGTGTTCTGAGGACAAGAGCTTGTGTCACTCATCCTCGGCTGCTTTGGTCATTCGTATTGTGTGCATACACTGCCATTAAGACTTAAGACCATGGTAACTGGATCTTTTTGTTTTTTGTTTTTTATTTTTACTTTTTGAGACAGGGTTTTGCTTTTTGAGAAAGGGAGTCTCTTTGTAGCCATGGAACTCACTTTGTAGACCAAGGTGGCCTAGAATTCATAAGAGATCCTATCTCTGCCTCCTAAGTGTTGGGATTAAGGGTGTAATTTAGCTTAGATTGTTGATTTTCTCCCTTTTAGGAAAAAGAGCAAATTACTGTAAGCCAGCTGTCTCTGGTAGATCTTGCTGGAAGTGAAAGAACCAACCGTACTAAAGCAGAAGGGAACAGACTCCGCGAAGCCGGTGAGCGCAGGGCTGGGCTTCTGACTTTCAACAGCTTGGAACATCAGCTTCTATTTATCGCTGGGTGGTGTCGGCAATCACTGCAATAACATTAACTATTGAACTTACTCTTTACATCTTCTATGTTTTAAAAAATTAACATTTTATTTGTGTGCCTGCATGCCTCAGAGTGTACATAAAGGTCAGAAGGTAAGGTTCTCCCCTTTATGGATCCTGAAACTCAGGTCTTCAGTCTTGGCAGCAAGTACTTCTATTGGGTCAGCCACCTTGCCTTCCCACCTAAGTTAACTTGTTTGTCTTTTGATTTGTTTGTTTGTTGTTGTTTGGTGGTTTGGTTTTTGTTTGTTTGTTTGTTTGTTTTGGTAGTCCAGACTGGCTGTTGGTCTTCCTGCCTCAGCCCTTCTGAGTACTGGGATTTCAGGTGTGTATCATCATGTCTAGCTGAATGATCTATCTGATAGCCATGATGGAGATAGGAGGCTTCAGTGTTCAGAGATAAACAGTCCTTTAGCACTTGGGCCTATAATTGAGATCTGAATTCTTAGAGGTGGGATTAGTACACTAGCCTTATCTTGGCTCAGAAATCCAAATGAGACAGGTCAGAAATGGAAAGCATGCTGACTACTGCTGAGATATAGACACTTGACTGTTAGAAACAGTGTCTCTTCACATGTAGGAGGGACTTCTGACCCTTTCTAACTGTAGTCTGAAATGGTCCCTTTGGATGTAGTTGGCCCCCATGTATGAGGTGCCTGAGTTTAATCTCCAGCACTACCACTCCTAGAAAAGAAAGAAAGCCAAGTAAATGACTTTGTCTATGACAGAATTTAGGGTTTGGAAGAAACTGTTACTTTTCTTTTGCCATGAAGGCAACAGAGAAAAGAAGACTTAGTTGGGGGCTTGCTTCCAGCTTCAAGGTGTGAGTCGGTGACCATCATGGCCAGGAGATAGTCAACAAGAAGGCATGGTGCTGGAGCAGTAGCTGAGAGGTTACTGTGGAGTAACTGTGATCATGTGATTCACAACCATGAGGCAGAGGTGTGCAGGGATAGAGAATGAGACGCGGAATGCTTGTGCTTTTGAAACCTTCTTAAAATCCGCCTCCAGTGAAACACATCCACCAACCAGGCTCTACCTCTTAAACCGTCCCAAATAGTTCTTTCAACTGGAAACCAAGCAGTTAAACATATGAGCCTGTGGGGAGCACTCTCAATCAAATCACCACAGAATTCAGTGTCATATTTAATTCCCGAGTTAGAGAGATGGCTCAGCAATTAAGAGCACTTGTTGGGTCAGGTATGGTAGCACACACTTTTAATCCTAGCGCCTGGAAGACAGAGGCAGAGAGATAGGTCAGCCTGGTCTACAAAGCAAGTTCCAGGATAGACAGGACTCTGCTGTTAAACACAGTAATCCTATCTTGGAAAACCAGAAAGAAAGAGAGAAGAAAGGAAGGAAGGGAGGGAGGAAGGGAGTTGTTGTTCTTCTAGATGATCTGGGTTTAATTTGTGCATCCACATGAGAGCTCAGATCTATCACAACTATTCATAATTCTAGTTCCAGGGGATCTATCTGATGTCCTCACTGGCGTTCGTGAGCACCAAACAGACATGCAGTACATTTACATTTATATTTAGGCAAAAACACTCAAACACAAAGAATATAGTTGAGTAGAATTAAAATTAAAGATATTCTCTTCTCTTTTTTTTTCAGAGTAATATTGTGGGGCTAGAGAGATGCCTCAGCAGTTCAGAGCACTTACTGCTTTTCTAGAGAACCTGGGTTCAAATCCCAGCACCTACATGGCAGCTCACAACTGTCTGTAGCTTCAGTTCCAGGAGATCCAACACCGTCAAACAGATGCCATACATGCATGCAAAACACCAACACACATAAAATAAAAATAACGAGCAATATTGTATTTGCAGAGCCTTTTATGGAGTCACTGAAAGATGCTGAGGCTATTCAGAATGAAGACTGGAAGTACAGTGGCTCATGCATGGGCACCTCTTGAACTTGAGCATGAGTCTAGCAGTTCAGTGGAGTAGAGGATTTACAGGCACAGCCTCATCAGCTCCTGTCTTGCTGGTTCACATGTCTTTTGTTTCTTACTTCCTCTCAGGAAACATTAATCAGTCCTTGATGACACTAAGAACATGCATGGAAGTCCTGAGAGAGAATCAGACATATGGAACGAACAAGGTACACAGCAGCCTTCCCCAGCTTCTTTGTGGGTTTAGTTTGTGCATTTTATGGTCTAATATGCTTAGCTTTTGGATGTTTTTATAGATGGTTCCGTATCGAGATTCAAAGCTAACCCATCTATTCAAGAACTACTTCGATGGAGAGGGGAAAGTTCGGATGATCGTGTGTGTGAATCCAAAGGCTGAAGACTATGAAGAAAGCTTGGTAATTTAAGTGTAATTTGTCCTATACAGTTTGGTTTCTCTAGGGAAAGCAGCTACTTGGATGTGAAGAATGGCATTCTGTAGATCTGTTCAGGGTCACTGGATATGCAGACAGACTATTTAGTCATCCATAAAGAAGGACAGGTAGGCTTGCTTTCACAGATTCTGATTTTTATTTTCAGCAAGTCATGAGATTTGCTGAGGTAACCCAGGAAGTCGAAGTAGCGAGACCAGTAGACAAGGTGATATGTGGCCTGACACCAGGGAGACGGTACAGAAACCTGCCTCGGGGAGGCCCAATTGGAGATGGTACGATTTGGTGTTATATCATTGTTCATTTGTTTGTCTTTCTATAACTTAAAAGAAAAATCTTCTCAAGGACCAAATGCAAGAAACTTTGAACTAAAATATAAGGTTTCTTTTGTTGTATGTTTTTTCTAATTTTTGAAAAATTCCATACCTAAAGCAGGGCATAGTG